GGTTGTATTTCATATTTTCCTAGAAAACAACAAAATAAACCAAGTGATCCTAATGTTTAGACCTGCATGTGAAGTATGTTTCTGGGGGGAGATAAGGATGGAGATTTGATGAGGTCCATTGGCCCGCTTCTTTCCGAATCTTGAAGCCACCAACTGGCTTTCCTGCTTCCATAGCTCCTTTAGCAGCTGCGTCCATTAGGCCAGGGCCAGCTCCAGTCCACGTTGTGCAGTCTAATAGAATTGCTACCTGCATAATAGATATATTTCAAAGATAATATCAAGTTCATACATTTATTGGTTTGCATGAAAACTGTAAATATTTAATTAATCCTTATGTAGAGTTCGAAGGTGCAGTGGCTATAGAAAGGCGATTCATATGGTCAACAGCTTTTCTCTTTTCTTTTTTTTCTGTTTTTTTTGAGTTTTTGCCAACAAAAACATATTTGGTATTGTTTGATAAAAAAAAAAATGGGCAAACAATCCATGCTAAATTCTGATTAATTTCAAAGTAGCTCCTTTTCATGGATTGAATATACATAGAAATCATGAAATACAAGAGAAAATAATCATAAAAGAGCCCAAGGTTACCGCTTTCGAAATCCTCTGCTCAAACAAACACAAGGTTTAGGAAGTCCAATCCCGATAAAAAGTGACATCTATACAATATTATATATAATATATTACTGGAAAATGCCTGTACAGAAAAGTTGTGATCTCCAACAAATTCTCTTGGAATTAACCTGTGATAACAGACTTCCTAACTGCAAAATGTCACAAAAATTTTCATAAAAAGATTGACTTGCCTCTCTTCCCAGTTCCACTGCCTGCAAGAAGTATGGGTGATCTGAGTTCATCCTTGAAGAACCCAAATAAACAACTCCCCTTTCGAGCCTCTGTATGATCTCATAGCATCGCATTATCTCCTTTTTCACCTATGAAAAACTAAAAAGTCATCAATCAACCACAACTGCCAAAGAAAAGGAGAAGAGGGGAAAAAATTTGTTTCAGGACAAGATACCTGCAATAAACATGGCAAATATTTTTGCAGATAATATACACAATGCAATGCAAGAACATCATGAAGCATAACTTAAATGCTTGTGCGCTGAGTGCTTGGAGGGTTATTTCAAGTGTGGCAGACATTTTGTAAATAGAGTATGTATGCTGCCAAAGACCGGTTATAGTAACAGGCTGTGGTGGGACTTAATGGTTTGGGGGACTGTACCCTGGACAGCATCTTCCCCAGGCTGTTTTTCCTAACCGTGGACCAGAATGTATCTATTGAGCAATCTATGAGACCCTGGATGGCCAAAGTATCTGGATTCTGATGTTTAAAAGGAACTTTCGAGAGACTGAAATTGCAGATTTGGCGACCGTATTGAACCTATGCCACCTCATATGGGTGAGCTTATCTGGTTCCCAGAAGCTTCAGGTATCTTTTCGGTCTCATCTATGGATACTGGTCTGACTGCCACTCTCTCTGTGGCTGTGGTGAGCAAGGCCCAGATTACCCCAGAGCCCCGCAAGACTCGAGCCCTCAATTAGCTTGTTATGCCCTGGAAATATTTTACTATAGATCAAATTCGGATGAAAGGTATCCCAATCCCTAACCACTTTTCCATATGTAAGGAGGCCAAGGAAAATGTAGATCACTTGTTTTTGCACTGCCTGATGACTGCTCAGGTCTGGGCTTCCCTAGGCCTTTCTGAGTGCCAGTCATATGGCCTGAAAGCATTGAAGCCCTTTTCTCCACCTATTTCTTGCTTCCATTCCCTGCAGCAGGTCTCTTTTTATGGTGAGCAATCATACTAGCCTCTATATGGACCTTGTGGCTCAGTGCAATACTAGAACTTTCAATAGCAGAGTGCAGGCCCTGTGTTTGAAAAGACAAGAGCCATTGTTATATTCTGGGCTAAAAAATGTCAAGCTTTTGGTGGTTGGTCATCTCTTGTCTTTCACAGAATTGCGGGAACATCATTCAAACTAGGCCTATAGTCATCATCATATGCGGTTTATGGACGTCCCCCTCCTTTTGGGGTTGTCAGACTCAATTTTGAGGTGTGTTCTTGTTATGATTTAACAACAGTCTTAGATGCGGAAAAAGGAACCCTAAAGTTGGATCCCAGCAATATCGTGTACTTAATTGCCTAGAGAAAAAATCATTGAGTACAAACATTGATACAAGAAACAAATCAAGAACAAAACGATTTTGCATGGTTTACCCCAAAAAGGTTACATCCACAGACATGACAAACTAAAGTCCACTATACTAATGAGAGTTGCATCGCAAATTTTGGGATACAATCATACAGAGCTAGCTCTCTAATCCTTGACAAAACCCAGTCAAGCAACCCTTTTAGACAAGCTCTCGTAACTGACATGGCTTGATGATCTCACATCTCTATTCTACAGCTAAACCACTATCCAAGAAGAGAACCTTTAGAGAGACCGAGAGTTTCTCTTACTAAAAGAGGATACCACGCAAAATCTCCATGGGAGCCGCTTCTCTACAAGAAACCAGTCTCTCACGCTTCAAGAGGCACCAAGTGTTTCTCTCTAGAGGAAGCTCACTTGTCTCTATATGAAGGCCTTGCCTCTCAATGTACATGATGACTTTCTCTCTAGAGGAAGCAACCTTTCTCATATGATGACCCCAAATAGGGCACACATGTTCTTTCCCTCTCATCCCATATATATAAAGGCTAGATCCCATACCAAATAGGAATAAGAAACTTCCCATAGATGTGATATACATCTCAAACTTACTATATACAACCAAGAGTCCTAATTTAGTTGGACTTCTATTTTCTTTATCCAATCTTAACCGTACTTGTAGGATTTCTGTGGGATGGTGATTTTGCTTATCATCTTCTCTAACAGTTCCCATCAACTTCATTAGTGAGAGGCCTATTCAGGAACCATCTCAGCCATTGCCTGCCCTCGTATTCCGACCTCAATGGGTACTCAGATTGTACCAGGGCTGATGCCTTGGCACTACTTGAGGGACTAAAACTGTATGGGTCTGGTCAGGGTTGCTCATTCGAAGTGGTTGGAGATTCAATCAATGTCATGAGATGGAGCTCCAAGCAGGCCCTTGCCCTTGGCACGTCGAACAACTGGTGGATGATATTTTGAAGAGATCTAGCAATCTTCAGTCAGATCTCATTCAGTCATGCTTAGCGAGAGGTTGATGTGCAGGCTGATGCCCCTGCCAAGGAGCAGGCCACTGAAAACGGTTTTGTAATCAATAGGCTACAGTCTTAAAATGACAGTTTTGTTATCACACTGTAAAGTTGTTTGTTTGTACTTTTCTTTTTGCTTTCAGCATTGCTGGTTTTTGCACAGTTACAGCAATTTGAAAATTGTAATTTCTTGGTTACAGCAATACAAAAGTCAATCTTGGTCCAAAAAAGAACAACATAATTGGTAAACATTTTCCAACTTTTAAATGAGCTGCACATGCATTGTATGCTGATTATGAATATGGGACCCTGAGTCCCTGATATTTGCCTCGAGTCAACAATGTGCCTAAGGCAAATGCTTTATATCCACCAAGGACACTCTGTAGCAGCATGCCAACCATTAAGGTAACATCAAGAATACAATGGCCACACACAAGAATTATAGGCATCTGATTAAACACTACCAAGGGCATTTTGGTAATCCTAAACTTTCTCACATCCTGGACGATGTAAATATGTACAGTTTGTTTTTGAAGATGCAGAATTCAGTGTTTTTGTAGCAGTGCAAATATATTACATATAAGGTCATTCCCAACAGGGATATTTCCACTTTGAATTAAACAATTAAGAAAAGAACTATATGAGATGTCTCCCTGATTTTATGCTTCAAAAGACACTGTCAAATGAAATAAAGTTGCCAATTCCACAAGGGACACATTGGTCATGTTTTAAGAATAAATATTAGGAAGGGAGGATCAGTTTCAAACACTCATGAATTACAGCAATCTTGTGATGAGATGATTCACCAGTTGTAGACTAGTAAAGGCCTTTATGCATTGTAATTTAAACATATAGTTGACTGCATTTCACTTTTTCGCTCCAAACGTCTCTGTAAGGTATCTCATCAAGTGATATTTTCTCTTGATAAGTAATGGTAGAATCTTATCAATTAAACAAAGTACAAAATTAAGAGACTTTTTATCAAGGAGATGCCAAGATAACATTTCTTCCACTACAAATTCCTGCAGGAAAACACCTTTATTGGCAAGTAGATCAGCCATGCAGTTAGCCTCCCTGATACATGACGGAAGGAGACAATAGCAAGAGGAGAAAATGCCAAAACTCTGTGCAATGTGAAGAAATTGCCTTCAGTGATAATCAGATTGCTCCAATCGGTGTTTTAAAACAGAGATCGGTAGAGTGGATTGCTCACCCACAAATTCTGATCCCGATTGGCCGGATGAATAAAAAGATTCAAGAAAAAATAAGCATAAACCCATCTTCATATTTTCTTTGATCATTTAAGTCATTTCAAATAAAAAAATGAATTAAATATTGATTAAAAACAATCTCAAAAGGGAAAAGACCGCAAAATTCATACCTCCAATTTCTTCCAATTGGACTCAGATCCAAATATCGATAGAGGGTTGAAAAAAGAACAAAATGCATCTAACATCATAAAAGAATTATTGAAAAACAAGAGAGAATTAGAAAAGTAGCGGATCAGGCTTGGAAAGAAATAGCCAAAATTCAAACCTTTGATTTTATTGGTTTGGAGTTTTTCATAAATCTTCGATACAAATTTAAGAGAGAAATAAAATCGAACAAGATTCCTCAAATTTCTCAAAAACTCTTGAGAAATGGCAAAGAAATTGAAAAAATTCAATAGGGGGACTTTTTACACCACAGGTCTGCACTGAGGGTATGGCTGATTAACCAAGATTTGTGTACCCGACCCCAAATAGATGGGAAAAGGTTCTGATGATGATGATAACAGGGCCGCACACTGATTCCAACCTAGAACCGGGACACACCTGTTTAGTACATTTTGACATGTATGACCTGCATCTTTGACATGCCAGATACCCCATCAGACACCGTTCGGGCATGTCTTAATGGAATTTGTGTCAGGCACGTGACTCTTAGCACACCTAACATCAACATGCATGTCCAATTTCTTGGACAAGCTTTGTATGTTTTCAGTTAGTTTACTTTAAAAAGTCACAAACTAATTCTGCATATAATCATATATAGACATGCAAGCATTGTACAGACCTGTATGGATGTGTCGTGTCCAAAACACCACTTTATGAGGAGTCATGATTGACACAACATGTACATATCCAAAGTCCAAAATGGAAACACTTGCCCATATCTTGTAACATAGAAGCGTATCTAAAGGTCCCTCCCCCCACCCAAAAATAAAAGAGCATCTTCCCCTGCTCATCCGTTAGGATAACCAGGATTCCCTCAGGGGGGCAGGTTATCCCTCAAGAACCCATCAAAGTTTAACTCAATATACCCAGCCCTTGGGCCACTAATCTCATACACATAGGGAAACCAGCCATTCATGATCATGCAACCTCTCTCAATACCCAAGAAAAAAAACTAACTAGGGCAATCATATGCAACATCGATTGATGGGGAACCACAAAAGCTACAATTTCTTCAGGATTCTGCACAACTTTAACACAACAACAACTCAATGTTCCCTTACATATGAAATGGCTCACTACCATTTGCCTTTATAGCTTATTAAGGTTGTGAAGGTCAAAGTGAGCATGGCACAGGCCAAACTCAATATATGCGTGCCCTCAAAGATTTATCCTTAGTTGCATACTGGGTAAGAAATCCAGTGTTGTTCAGGTCCTAATAGGGAAACAGCCAAAGAGGTCCACATTAGGGCTACCAAACATGTAATGCTTGGAAACATTTCCAAGCGGAAAATAGTTTGGAAAGAAGAGTTAATGTTCAATACGTCATATCATGTTTTAAAGCGATACACAAAGGACGAAGAGAACAAGGAAACGAATGTAAATTAATGCATTTATTTAAATCCTATGATGTGCTTGACTGGATTTTAAAACATACAAAACTCAATATTTTGTTGATGATCACTATATCATTTTGAAGCCATGCATTGTGGGTTTCATCCAACATCAAAAAATCTCACGCTGTAATCCCCTCTTCCTCTCTAGAAAAAGGAGGTTACTTTTACAGGCGAGTACAGAAATTCAAGGAGTAGCATCTATAGCAACTACAAAATCTTCGTTTTTGAGCCTTACACATATTTATGTATAAATAATTATACATTTATTGGACTTTATCAAAAAAATTATACATTTATTGTGTTTGCTGCTTGTTTTTGCATACATGTGCATGCACCTCATACTTTGGCATTTATAAAAATGGCCTCCAAGAGTCTATTGTAATGGATATTCGATATTGTTACAAAGAAGAGGAACATGTTTCAATTTGATGTGAAAAATTGCATTCCTACATGCTGAAAACTGAAGAAGTTTACATGGATGATCACCTACCTTAACCAAGAATTTGATTGGCAAGCTGGGCAATCAATTATGGGCTCATTAGGCAAAAGATCAGAGGCTAAACCAGTAAGCAGTCCCTTTGATTACTCTCACTTCAAAAGTAAACGTATATAATAGTAATACACAGTGTTGCTAATAGTCTATGAAAATGCTGCCATCATCACAAGTGAGTTTTGATGCCTTTAAGAAATATTTTATTTATTTATTATAATACATTAAAAAAAAACAAAGCCTTACCCAAAAATGGAAAAAATGACAACTTTAAATAAGAATCAATAAGGTTATTCAGATGTGAAGAAAATATGAGAACTAATATATACCATACAAATAGAAGCTATTATTTCTATGGAGAAATAGCTCTATAGCTACTAAAAACAATTCTCTCCTGAAAACAATATGCCATGACTATTCTACCAAGTAGTCAACGCCAAGCGCAAAGCCGTGTGATGTTTTGATAGAGAAAGTCATCCATTAATAACAAATCTGGGGATGTTAGCAGGCATCCAAGACACTCTGGTGTTTGTTTTCTCTGGAAAATTTATCAAACTTCACCTAAGATTTGAATTAGTACTATCTTATCCATATTCTTTTTAAATTCAAGTAGCCCATCATTCTTTTGATTAAATTTCAAATAGCCATAAAAGACACATCAAAATGGGTTCTGAAAACATATAAAATTACATCACAAGCAATTTTAAGAACGTCATCACAATTAACATGTTAAATAGTTCAACTTTAAGTGTACTTTGACACATTTCACTTTTCTGATAAACCACCTATCATTGCTGTGGAGAAAGTGTATACATATAGTTATGTATGTTTCTCAAATGTTCCATAATCATTTTAAATATGTAGTCACTGTTGTGAATCAGTAAAAAAAACTTATCTGCATATGGATTCCTACAATAGTAGGGGGCAATAGGGCTCTCACATAGAGATGTGCACCATGCCTAGACGAGTTTAACCTGACTGCTCTCCAGGATTTCGAGGATATAGTGAAGGACAATTTGATGTAGATTTTTTATTGGATTTCACAAGAGAGAGGTGGCATAAGTAAGGGTACAATGCCTCTGTCATCACTCTAATTTTGATAGTGGAGGGCACTAGTGATATTTAAGATTTTAGACCATCTGTCTGACCATTAGTGCGCAAAAATCTTGGCCAATATCATGATCATAAGACTTTTTTTGGAAGATAGTTGACTGTGTCAGTAAGACTTAAGAATGTCTTTTTTCAACTTATTGAAAAGAATGTTTTGTTTCAACATCATCCCCTACCCCTAATTAGGGGTAGTTGGCTAATGAATAATTTGCCCATGATTGTATTAACTCCCGATTTGAGATGGTAAGGTGTGTATAATATGCAAAGTGGATATAGAAAATGTATACGACCACTTGACTGGAGCTTCCTAGACTATTTGCTAGGGAGCATGCATTTGGGGGGAAAATGGAAATGACAGATGTAGAAAAGTGTCTCATCCTCACAGTTTTTAATTTTGAATAATGGGTCATCACATGGTTTGTTTTGGCATTTCTAGGGCTCTTCAGCAAGAAGATCCTTGATTGCCATCTCAATTATGTAGATCCATAGACTCTATATCTATTTTGAGTTTTTAACTCTCATGGAGGCTATCAATTGAGTGATTAACAAGGCCTCCAACGTTTGTTTTGAAATTTATTTATTTTTGTCAACTCCTGAGGGCCAATGATATCCCATCTCTAGCCCACCAGAAACAACTTTATCTTCTACAAGGGATCCATTGAACAGATTCACAAACTATGGCTAGTTTTTAGAAGTTCAAGGTTGCATATGGATTGAGAATCAAATTGAGAAAAGTTCCTCAGTGTTTGAGAGAATGTTGGGATGCAGTCCTCCCTAAGTTAAATATCTCAGCCTTCCATCTTGCATCAGTGAGTTTAAAAGACATTTTTGGAACTAAATCATAGAACACTTTGAAAGGAGATTGGATATATGAAAGAGGAGTCAATGCATTTATTTTAGGGAGAGGATTATGCTTATTAAGTCCACCCTCTCAAGTATCTTGGTACCTAACATACTTGTATGAGAAGAAGTGTGATTGTGTCTAGAGAGATTACCAACTACCAAAAAGGTGGAAAGGAGGAGTGTGATTGTGTCTAGAGAGATTACCAAAAAGGGTGGAAATGAGTCTCATAAATTCAACCTTTCCCAGGCAGGAAGGATTTCGATCACTATATGTCTGGTGGATTGGGTATTCTTAGAGAAATTTCACTGCAGAAAGATATATTGGGAAGTGGCTTTCGGATTTCCCGAGATTGCAAATGGTTAATGGAAACCTGTTAATGGTAGTATGCTACTATTGAGTTGGGAGGGGTGACATATAACTAATCTAAGATACAGTTTCAGATGGCATTAAGTTTAAGATCAGAGAGTTGTAGAGACCAAGCATTTGACATATCTTCTGCTCACCTTTTGCAGAACAATTCAGACTCAAGCATAAAATTTTCTGACTAGTTTGAGCAAAGAGGGGGAGGAGTAGTTTGTTGACCTCCGTACCGTGGGGCTTTAGAACTAGGAACTTGGAGACCTCTACATCTTGATGGCCAACTGCGAGAATTCCTTTATCCCAAGATCAAGTTTTGATTAGAGGAAACTTTTAACGTTTGGAATGAGAAATTGGGCCAAGAATAGTCTTGGAACTTTCCAACGGGAGAGTAGCAAGCCTGCACAAGATTCTCCCCACTGCATAGGGGATTCCAAATCCCCAATTAGCGTCTGATGTATAGAGAAGACTCAAAGGCAATGGATCACCAGCTATAAGTTAGAGAGATCCATAAGGAGTTAGACACATTTGAAGTAGATAAGGTTATGCCTGAGGTGCCAAATTCTTTAGAATCCTAGCATGTTCATTGGTAGAGAGACAGGAGTGGATACAAAGTGCTTAGAGGCAATTTGAGCTTCCAAAACTTAGCATTTGAAAGAACCATGATATACCCCACTATTTCTTGCGATCCTATGTTGTAAGAGTGTGGAGGGCAAAGAGTAGACACCAGAATGAGTGACTAATTAGGCCCCCACTTTCTAAAGTACCATAGTTCATAGGACCAGTATACATTGGATTCACCTTTTTACTCAATCTCAAGCTCAACCTCAACCCCAACCTAAAATATTTATTAGGAAGCCTAGTTCAGTTGGGTTCGATGGTATCTTTCATGGCAACAAACTGGAGGTTCTGAAGGCCTTCTGAGTTCTGTTGGATATTCCTTTCTATCCATAGAAACCGCCATGATATTGAAGATGAAGGTTCACAATTCTTTGGTAGGTCAGCAATGAGCTTGGAAACTGGGAGGCGTTAATTGACATTGAAACCAATCAAACACAGTTTGATTCACAAGGTCCTAATGGGATAAAACATCACCACTTTATATTTCCAAAATACAAGCATGCTTGTCGAAATTCAGACCATGGTCCACAAAAACAAGGGTATGCTAAATCATCAGCATCCCTGATACCATTATTATCTCCTTATAAGAGATAAACCAATGGTTATGAACTGATTCTCTCTCCCTCTCTCTCAAAATAGAATTTCATGGGCTCGATTTATAGGAAGGACATGCAAAGATCTATACGACGCCCAAGAATTAAGAGAAAATCACATTTTCCAACCACTCAGGAGAGAGATGGGTGTAACCTCATTTGCACTACTTCGTTCTTCGTGGTCTCTAAGCTCATTTCTGCACACGATGCTTCTGGAGACATGCTTCAAAGAAGCAAAAAGAATGGCACCTCTGCTTTCTCCATGTCTGAAATTCAAGGGCCCAGAACTCACCTCGATTTGGAAAACACCATTTCTGATCAGATTATGAGAACCCAATGGTTTTAGTGTGGAAAACGCCATAGCTGGGGTGCAGAGTTTGAACGAATGACGGCAAAGAGCGAGTCTTTACCGGGACAGAGAGCCAAGTATTGTCATGGGAGCTATTAGGAATTTTAGTTTTGTTTAGTTCGGGTTGTTGTGTCATTTGTTCTCAATCCACACATAAAGAACGAGGAGGAATAAAGAGTCCAAAAAGTATATTCTTTCTTGTGTCAGGGCGGCCACTAAGATGCAAACTCATTCTAACGCCAAAATTGCAAATTTTGGTAAATTTTGAGGTGAGTTTTTCTTTTTTCTAAAACCTTTTTAAATCTTTTTTATTAAAAAAGTATTATATACATAGAGGTTTTTTTTTTTTGGTATAGGGTGCAGTTTGTATAGAGCCGAGGCTCTAAACAATCAAAGTAAAGATGTTGAGAAATGTGGTTTCAATAATGGAAATCATTGCGATGGCCTTAAAATATATTTTTATCGTTAATTATAAAATTTACAGCTTTAAAAATAATATAGTTCGAGCATATCTATGAAAACTTGAAAATTGACAGTCCAAAAATACGTTGCAAGATGCATTATTTTCAAAACTTGAAATCAATTTTTTTCTTATGTCTATACCTCTTGATGTCAAGATGATCAATTTGAGGATACTTGGGAATCAAAACAACTTCTTTTAGTTAAATTTTTGAGGTGGGCTTTAATTTGATGGTTTAGAGCCTTGGCTCTACATAAATTTTTCATATTTGTAACTTTTATATTTTACATTTGAAATCTATTTTTCTTGTAGAATTTCTTTCCCCAAATGAGGATTTATAGTGTTATGGAGAGTATGGGTGACGAGACCCATTTAGTTTTAAAAAGACTTTGATTATGACGTCCTCATAATACATCCAATTTACCACTTGAAGTACCGGCCCAAAAATGTATGTATTCTATGGGTTAAGTGCCAAACCAATGCATGAGACTTAACTCGCTCCCGCAAGAGCATGTTGTTTATTTGCTCCCTTGAGTAAAAATAATTTAAAATTTTGGAATTCATTTAAAAATAACTAGATAATTATTGTTTACATAATTTGAATCTTCAACTCTTTAACACTTCGATAAAAAATTAAACGGTTTATATTCAATTTTAAAATATTATTTTTGGTCTCAAAGAAGAAAAAAGTCTATATAAGGATGCTACCTTATAATGTAGAACTACAGATGCCCCTCAAAAATCCATCGGAATAGGTAGTTTTAATGTTGAAAAACCCTTTGATTGATCATCTCGATATCGAGATGTATGATTATGAAAAATAAAAATATTTTAAGTCTCAGAAATAGTGCATTTTACAACATATTATCTACACCGTCGATTTTCAAGATTTTCATATGTTTATAGATCTACTAGATTTTAACAATTTTTTAAATTTAAAATTTTATAATTAGATATAAAAATAGATTTTGAGATAATTCTAATAACATTTACATCAAAATTATATACCATGATAAAATTTGAAAGGCGCCTTACCTCTACATCTACGAAGGCGTCTGTGTGCCAACTGCACCCTCAAAGAATAATTTGAATTTTACTTTTTGCCTTTTATTTTGAAGTTGACTGCTAGGTTGAAGAGGATAGATCCCCAAAATTTGAGTCCTAAAACAACCCTTGGTTGGGTTTGCCCAAGAGAGCACATGGATAGTGTGCTCTAGCAGGAGCATGAAGTTATTTCAATGGTACAAAATTTATTATCATGGGTTGCGCATTTGAGGTAGCCTTACAATACTTCAAATTTTTTTTTTAGTGAAGTATGAGTTTGATAGATCAATCACTAAGCTCGTGTTTCACTCGAAATAATGAGTTTGGCACTTGAAGTGTTGTATCCATTGTTGTGTTACAAAAAAATAGGTCTTGTATGGAGGTATTTTTGGCAAAAAAAAAAAAAGTTCCAACAAGAGAAGGCTAGCACATAAAACATAAAAAATCTATTACTAATTTGCTATAACTTTAACATGATTCTAAGCAAGGATACTCAATGTTTTTTAAGAATAAGGCTTGGGCTTGATTGGTTAGCAATTGACATTAGCAATGTTACATCTTAAGCTCAATCCCTATAGCTAAACTACTGAAAAGAAAGAATGATGTACAATGATTTTATGAGGTGTTTTAAAACTCGTAATTGGGTCCCGCATTGGTTCTCTAGTTAAGTGATGCCCAATTCTTTAGGGCCAAGAAAACATAATGAGAAATTTACGTAAAAATACCTTAAAATGATATTTAAAAAGAGTCCCCAGTATTTTACATTTCACACTCAAGTCTCATTTTTTAAATATTTTTATTCTAAAATTACCCATGTTTAGACATCGAGTGTCCTAATTGATTTTTTAGTATAAGTAAAATAATGGTTTGCACATTGGATCTTGAAACCAAACTTTTTGTAAGTAGATCCGCTCACTAAAGGAATATCCTGGGTTAGACACCCTGAACTACTTGATGAAAGACCGGTTGAAATTAGATATTCGGACTGGTCTTTCGCAACAAAAATGACAAGTGAGCTGATTGATATTATTTTCTTTTAGGGGTAATTTCGATTTGGCTCATTCCTTAGTTTTACATTGCTTTTCACCATGAACCATAAACATCAGATAATGCATCTACCCCAATTCAAACCTAATTGATGGGGGAACGTTAGATTTTGTGGATAGAAAGAGGAAAAAGGAAGTGAGTGCATGAAATGAAGAAACTTCGGAAATTTTCTCCCTTTTTAACATAGAAATCCGATATTCACTCATGCTCCCATGACGGGTTAGCTACCCTCCCAACATCACTCTTTCTGCTCATGAAATCTATGGTTTTTCCGTTAGTTGAATTTGGATGGAGGTAAATGCATTTTCCTAATGTTTCTGATTCAGGGTGGAAAACTGAAAACATGCACAATGTCAAGATGATGATACTTCTTCTCCAAAATGGATGCAAAGCTAATCATAATGATTCTTACATCCCTGTGTCTGTGAGCACTCAAAAATTTTAAAGAAAAAAAGGAACTTTTGAAACAGTAGATGGTTGGCGGGGATTTTTTGGATTCATGAACACAATGAATACAATGGTATATATGGTGAATCGATTGATAATGAGTTTGCAATGACATAGAAAAGAAAATTATAGTACCCAAGGAATCATGCACTCATGTGGTTTCTATTCCAATAGTCGTAGAACACGAAAACGAAAACAAGTTGCCAATGTATGTTAAACTTTGAGAGCAATCTACCATTTCAAGAAGCAATATTGTTACCAATGGTACTAAAATAACCATTATAGTGTGCAAGGGCCATGCATCTAGAAAGTAGAAAGTTGTCATTTATGGGCATCACTTGAAGGTTCTTGATGGAACATAGATCATGCTCTATTCAGTCTGGTTGAAAGTGTGCAGAAGGGCCAGTATGATGGAAACTTCTTCAAAATGGTTCTTAAATGTTCTTGATATAAACCACCTTTCAAGGGTTGTGTACTACACGAACAGGTAACCCCTTTGTCTAGAATTAGAAGGCGCGGGACCTTGAGAAGCATTTAATCTTGTAAAGTAGTAGTTAATGAAATTGCGTTTTATTAGCAAAACGTAACATCTCGGGTTCCATTGCTACCCATTAAAACTAAAAAAATAGTAAATAAAAATAAGAACATAAGTACTCTATACTTCGAATGAAAACTCAAACCTCTTAAGAAATTTCTTGGGTTTTTAATTCTGGAATATATAATCAGTCTATCCTCATCTTCATTAGAAAATTTTTGGGACATTAATGGTTTAGGAATGGAACTGAGGATTCATGTTCTTTTATTCATATAGAAAGCTTGCTCCTTGCATTCAATGTCCAAACTAGTATCCATCGGTTTCGAATATTTGATGTTTGAACCATTTTCTTTTCTGTTGATTGAGCAGATCTAGCATCCAATGTCTTAACATGAAGAAATAGGTGTAGACTGTGGATATTTGAAAAACTCAATAAATAAAAAAAGTGGTTCAGATATCCAATGTCCAAATTACTCTTGCAATAAATAATAGAAGACCTTCGTTTGGATATTTGGATGAACCGGGGCAAAATGGAAATACAAAAAGAGGGCAAAAAGGGACTTGGGCATACAAAAATATGGGGCTTTCTTTATTACAACTTTGCAATTTATCTAGGATTTTTGCATAAATATTAAAAATTAAATTGGGTGAAAATCATCAATTCTTCTCACAGAATTACCATGTTCTTTGATAGAACCAATTGATTCCACCAAATTAGCCAGATTCTCAATTTCATAAAGGAACCGCATTGGTCCCTTGCCGAAATCGATCTAAATCAATGATTCCTTATTTGGATCGTTTTTAAAACCATGATTATGATATAGAAATTAGGGGCAATCCATGTAAAAAGCCTATTTTCTTTTGGAATTAAAAAGCATTACCAGTATTTTCATATTTTATGCCAAGGTTCTTTTATTGTCAATTTTTCATTTTTACACCTGCTCTCGAACTTGAAGCGTTGGACTCTATTTCATGATTTGTTTTTAGAAGTTGATCAACATGTGAAGTAATGTATTGACATCTCTATAATAATTGGCTCTGACACTCCAAGTGTCGAACTAACTTTTGGCACTTTTTCTCTAGAAGTCGAACCGACACTCTTAAGTGTTGGTCCACCTTCTTTCAGTGCCGTCTCCAAAAAATAAATAAATAATTAAAAGATCAAAACAAAATATGAGGAAGGCAATTCATCTCTCTTACTGGTACTTCAAGTGTAACTTCTTAATAAATTGTTGAGGTGAACAAAAACTGTGGGGTGGAACTTCAAGAGCGAAAATAAAATGAAAAAACCCTGATGTAAAATATGAAACTATTGATATTGTTTTTAACTTCCAAAAAAAATAAGATGTACTTTACTGCACTACAAATGAAGACATCACTATTTTATACACGATACGGTTTTTATGAGTTCTAGAACTCCTATGTAAATATGCGGCCCTTCTTCACGATCCAATTTTTAGATGGATTTTGGATTTAAGTTTTTAGGTATATATAATATCTAACATGGAGATCATTAATATGTTAAAAAAATAAAATTTTACTACTAGAAATGATATTTTTTATTTGATATGTCTTTATAATTACTTGGGTAACTTTTATTTATTAATTTTTAAATTTTTTCAAAAGTAGTGTGTGTGTATATATATATATATATATATCAAATTTGAGATTAATATAATATGTATTAAAAAGTAAAATTAAGATATAGTATAGGTTTTAAAAAACTAGAACTTGAGTGATTTACTCGAAAGTCTAAGTGTAAAATATAGGGGAAATTATAATAAAACCCCGAGACTGCACTTTCTATGCAACTTAACCCCAAACTAGTTTTTTTTCTCATTTTTTTCCAAGAAACAGACTTTCTATGCAAATATCCCCCCAAGGAAAAAAGTTCATTTTTTAGACGAAATGCCCTCCTCGTACACAATTTGCCTAGATTTCGCGTTAACTTTTGGACCTTAGTAGCACATTGCTGGAGCACACAATCGAATTGTTAAACCCAATATTCTAGAAACTTAATTGTCGGACCGCCTTTTGCAACTGTCAGAGCGCACTTACACAGTGCCAAAGCATTGTGATTCCAAAGTGTTCCACTGTCCGATTGCACTTCCACAGTGCCGGAGCCTTGTGACTCCAGAATGCACTTACATAGTGGCGGAGCGTTGTTCTACTGTTAGACTGCACTTACATAGTGTCGGAGCGCTGTGATTCCAGAGTGTTCCACTGTCGGAGCGCACTTACACAATACTGAAGCGCTGTGATTCCAGAGTGTTTCATTGCTGGAGCGCACTTACATAGTATCGAAGCGTTGTGATTTCAAAGTGCTCCACTGTTAGAGCGCACTTACAAAGTGCCTGAGCGTTGTGATTCCAGAGTGTTCCACTGCTAGAGCGTACTTACACAGTGCCGGCGCCCTGTGACTCCAGAGTGTTCCACTATCGGAGCGCACTTACACAGTACCGGAGAGCTCAATCTACTGTTGGATCTTTTTCTCTCCATGTCCCTCGACCTTTTTTTTTTTTTGCTTTTGGGTGGTGTTACATGTTAGCCAATAATAAGGAGTAATTTGCAATAAAGTTGCAATTTAGGGAGGTAAACCAAATGCCATCATCATTAAATCGAGCAAAAAATTGAGCTCAAGCTTTGGGGCTTGGGCAGAGCCAAAGAAATTGGTAGAGAGCACAAGAAAGAGGGAGAGGGAGAGAACTCAGGTCGAGGGAGAGGGAGAGAACTCAGGCCGAGAGAGAGCGCAAGGAGGGAGAGGGAGGGAATTCAGGTCGGGAGAGAGCACAAGAATGAGGGATGGAGAGAACTCAGGCTGGGAGAGAGCGCAAGAAAGAAAGAGGGATGGAGAGAACTCGGGCCAAGAGAGAAAGGGAGGAGTGAACTCGGGCTGGGAGAGAGCATAAGAAAGAAGGACGAAACTCGGGCCGTGAGTACGTTTGTGGATTGTGTGTCTTCTTGCAATAAAAAATTAGATCTAAGAGAGAGAGGCATGAGAAAGGGTAAAGTATGGGAAGAAAGGCGCGGGGAAAAGGTCAAGTAAAAGTAGTTTTGCTTTTTTTTTTTTTTTTTAATTTTTAGAATGGTTGGGGTATTTGCTAGAAAGCGTTATTTTAAGGAAAAAATTGTAAAAAAAGAAGATTGGTTGGGGGTAGGTTGCATAATAAGTTTAGTTTTGGGTTTTTTTTTGTAATTTATCTAAAATATAACATATACAACTCTCTTCTTAATTTCACAACATAACGAGTGCGGCTTGGATAAAGTTGCAATCTTAAACAATCAAAATAAGGTGCAGCCCTAAACTTTTTGGTTTTTTGGAGCTCAAAATTCTTAATATGTCCCCATCTTAATTTCATAACATAACGAGTGAGGCTTGGATAAGGTTGCAATCTTAAACAATCAAAATAAGGTGCAGCCCTAAACTTTTTGGTATTTTGGAGCGCAATATTCTTAATATGTCCCAAAAATTTATTTATATATTTATTTATAAAATTTTAAACTCTAAAAATAGTTCAAATCAAATATATCTATAAACACATACAAATCTTGAAAGTAGATTGTCAAAATAATACAATACAAAATGTAATATTTTTAAGATTTAAAACTTTTATTTTTCATGTTCATGCATCTCGAGGTATAGTTTTCTATTATATAGTTTTCTACACCCATTAATACAATAGTTTGTGATGGATTTTTAATTCCACAATATAAACTTCAAAACAATCTTCTCTATGAACTTCTCCCAGTAAAAAATGGTTGACTTTGGGGGTGTCAGCGATAAGAATGGTCACTGGGTGTGGGGATGAAGCTGCAACTCGGCGCTAACTTGAACGTGATATGCACCTCTCTCTCTGCTAACTCCAAAAACATAACCCCTTCGCCTTCTCTCCCAAGAAAGAAATCAGGAGACTGAAGTAAGTGGAAATCAAAAGCGACAGCAGCTACTTCCAACGTACTTACTTTTTCCTATTTTTCATTTGCATCATGGATACATAAATCCCAAAGATGGAAGTTTTTTTAATCCGACTTTTATTTTGAAATATTTGGCTTCCTGGATTTGCGCTTCAGAATTTTTAATGGTTCTAGGGTTTATGTTTTTCTGCTCAGTTTCACAATTAGGGGTCTGCATTGCTTACTGTTTTCATTTTTTAATTGAATAAACTTCTATTGCAATCTTATTACATCCCAACCAAGTATCATTTTTATAAGAAACTTGTGAAAAACAAACTTTGAGTTTAAATTTTTTTGTTTTAGTATAATCAGCTGAGCTCATGCTTAATTTGTAAAAGTGTGGTAATGAAACAAGGTAAAAGTCAGTACTTTCATGTTATTGCCTGAATTCGGACTTCTGGCTTTTTTTTTCTTTTATTTATTTATTGTCATTTTTGTAACTTCATATACAATACATTTTTCTGTAAAAACTGTATTTTGTTAAGGCTATGGGGCTTCCAGGAAAAACATATATATTTTGGTTTTAATTTCTAAGCCATGCTTATCTATGATGTGCTCTGTTAGCTCTTTTTGTTGTTCTTGAGAGCTCAAGGCAAATACAGTGATGTGGTGGATTATGGCATATGATATACCCCAGGGGCAGCTATGTTTCGTTTCCCACGGGATTGTGAGGATTAACGGTACCTCTCTCGTGGGTTCTACTATATTTGCTTCCAATTGTCCATCATCAAGAATGAAGGGTGGATGGGAGTATCGCATATTATGTTCCGTTGGATTACAGTATACTTTTCCTATGCTTATTAAATATCTGATTCAGATAACTTAGAAATTGGTGTACAAATTAATGTAAATTTCTGATATTTATAATTCTTGTTACAATTAATGAAACAAGTGACAAAGATGAGACCACAAACCTACTTTTTATAGCAGGTCATATGATTGGGCTAGTTTCCTTTTAATCATGTATACAACCTTTTTATTATCAAGAAAAGGAGATGAAAAATTACCACGGGGTAACGTGAGTACAATCTGCATAAACAAATTGATTCAATTTGTTATTTCCTTGATTCCTAGCCAACTAAGGTTTTTCCTTGCATAGGTGATTCAGTGGTGTTCAATGCTGTCAAATAATATTGTGAATCTGATGCCCCACTTTCTGTTCATGGATGTTGGTCATCCTAACTAGTTGCTAATTTGGCTGACATGCCTTCACTTTAAAGGATTCTCTCGAATTAGACTCAACTTTCTTATAAATGTTGCGGGAGATCCCTTTGAATTTGTGGATTGAGCTCATTGCCCTTATTTGATGCTTATAATAGGAAGCCTCGAAGAAATCTGGCTGCCCCATTGAAGCAAATAACTGAGATGCCCAATATTGACTTTTTATACAATCAAAGGTCATATATGCATTGGGTTGGTAATAGTTGAGATGCCAAAACCACAGAAACGTATCTAATAGAAAAAGAAAAAGAAAAAGAGAGAAGCTTCACATTTATTTATTGATTCACTTTGACAAGCCACGATGTAAATCTCCTCTTGCTTTGCACTTGAATACCTTAATTTCGTTTATGAACCCAACTTATGCATTGTTTGTAGTTGAGAAAGGTACTTATATGTGTTTAATTGAAAATGTCATTAGAATTAGGGGTGTTCTTAATGACGATTCTACTACTTGGTCCGCCCTGAAATGGAAGCAAGGAAAGATAGAAATCTCAGGAATGGGAGAGAACCAGTTACATCTTTTCAGATTTAAGGCAAGGGAGAGAACCAGTTACATCTTCAGATTTACTAGAGGAAGAAAATGTGTGACCTTGCACATGGAAGTAGAACTTTTATTGCTGAAGGTGAAAATCGTAATTGTTGGAAAGCAGCGTCAATCTTGTTGCTTTAGAGATATGGATACCGACCTGAACATTGAGGACTTCTTCCTGACCTTCATGTCAATTGTGAGGTTGTCAAAAAGACCCACATACCTCTTCTAGAAGGGCAATTTCTTCATCCTCATCTCACACACAATAGTGGGTGGTCCTTTTATCTGGAGCTTTTCCCTTCAATAGATGTTGTGAGACAGTGATAACTGTAAATGTCATTGAGTTGAACAGCTGAAGTTGATGGGATACGGTAATCTGCATGAATTGTAAGTTTTCTCAAATTAAATCAGTCACATTAGGTGCTCTAGAAGATTATTTTGTTTGTACATCTCTTAGATGTGATTGGCTTGAATCTATTGAGTTAACCCCCCAATTCAGATATATTTGTTGGTGATATGGACTGCAAATTGAACCTTCAATTTATATTTATGTGTGAAAGAGCATATTACAGCATCTCTAATTCATGAATTCCTAAGGATCACCGTGTCCCTGCTGCTCAAAAACTGCCTGATGCAGTTGTTTTGGGACAGCTAACTGAACGGATCCCGTTCTTGATGAAGAAAGAGAATAATCAAGTGTACTACTTCAAAAACCTTATTTCTACTGAATTTATGGAAACATGCCTTTATGGATCTTGGAAGGTGGGGTCACAAAGAATATCCAAAAAGCCCTGTAAAAATGCATAATTTTTTGCCCTGTAAAAAGCAATGTAGAACCAGTTCAATATATTGTTGCCTGTTAGAACTATTTACAGTTATACCCCTCCCTCCTCAGCAAAGCTCAATGATCGTATGTAATCCCATTTCATTGAAATCAGTAACAAAAGCCAGCCTAAAGCATCTGAATCCAGAATTTTGTGATCCATAACCACGACTCTTTTGCAGCTTGAGTACATACATGGATCAGCATCCTGAACATCTTCCCAAGATACAGATCCCCCAGCCTATTGCAAGAAGAATGCATGAGCAAACATGATATCTAACTGCACTTTATGCATCAATGAGATTGCAACCAATTGACCATGGAATCCAAAATATGGAAGGTGCAAGGAGTTCACTGCAGCCGCTGCATATATAACAGAAGGAATAAGATAACAGAAATTGTGCTTTCTTGTGAAGGGAAAATAGCACACAACAATTCCATGTGCCTAAATAGGAGAATTGATGGATATGTATACCTGTGTTCATGATTGTTTTGGTTATATTATGTTCCATTTTGTTCTTTGTTCACTTAATTACACAGTTTCTAATTGGCCTTCTGTGAATTGTAAGGGATTTCATGTACATGATCATGTCACAATCAGACGTGATTGTCGTAACCGGACTTGGGGTAACTGATGCTAATCGAGTGCATTCAGCTCCATGCTTGGGAAGCTTTTCTTCAAGCTTTCTCCTACTAGGGCAATGACGAATGAGTAGACGACAAACCCTAATACCCCCCCTGTTTCCCATTTTGGAGGTACATCTGAAGAGAGGGGAAGCAAAGGTCAACGACATAAAGTTCTCCCTCCACTGACCTAGGTGCCTCAATTTCAGCAGAATTATTTGTGAAGGAAGATTGCCAATTTCTCCACAGCTGCAAACAACTTCAAGACAAAACTCAGTTACAAATTTCATGTCTATTATGCTTGGGGAAGTGGTACAAGCTTACCTCGAGAAGATCATTAAACTATTGGACAACATTGAAAGTACCACATGTTTAGTTGCTCTGGAAGTGGGAAATATTTGCACCTGCACTCACCATTTCAGTTCATCTTCTAGTTCCTGGATCATTGACTCGAGCATCTACTTACATGATTGAAACCCTACTACATATTCCCAAAATTGGCGCTTGACCCTTTTTCCTTCACATAATGTGCTTCATGGGTGAAAGATTGGGAGGAAGATGTAGAGGTTGCTTTTGCAGTGGGTTATTTCTCTTCCACAAGCAGCCATCTGCTCTTTTTAGTAGAAAGGCAGGACACCTTTCTGCTACAATTCTTAATGTTCCTTGATGCTCATTATATGAATTGTTGTGAGAGTTACCAGTTGTCTGAACAAAGAATTCCTTCACGAAAAGCAGAATCCCATGTGAATTTCAACACTATATATTCTGATGTTTACGGATCGATATCTATGACACCTTTTGTATACTTTCTTGGTGACTGTCTCTTGAGGCTAAAGAATATACTAGCCATAACCTTCAAGACATAACAATATGGTTATTGCCCAGTTAAATGCGAAGGAGTGGAATGGAGTTCACAGTCAATTTCTTAGTAGCACTGTTACAATAGATAGTGCATCCTGCTAAGCAAAATGATGCGATAAAGCCCAAAATCAGAGCTCTCATAATGGGTATGAAATTTCCCAGGCCTCATTAGACAGGTGTTGTCATGAGTGCTTTTCAAATAATCAGTCCTTCGTGAGTTTTTTTGGGGGTGAACTTCAATCATTTATCGCTTTTAAGTTTTTAGAAAATTTTTAAGGGGACAGCACCAACCGTTTCTTATCTTCATGTTTTGCGGTGTTTTACGATCGGTTACCAGAGATTCATCATCATCATCATCATTTGTGCTGTATCCCAACTATTTGGGATCGGCTATGCGAATCCTGCTCCACCCTTGTGCTCTAGGAGGGGACTTTCCCTCAGTCTTATAGTGAAAACCTAGCATGAACATTTAACATTGGTTTAGGATTCATGAAAAGATGTGGCAAAGTTTTACGCTGAAAAAGTTACCGGAGATTAACGTGAGGCAAACTGGATCCAAAATCAATACGATGTGTTTTCCATGATACTCGCCTACACCAATAGGGGATAATGTGTTTTCCCTGATTATAGATACAAGTCCACAAAATGTGTTTTTCTCGGTCTACTTGCCCACATAGAAGAAGAATTTCTGTTATGATACATGAACGAAAGAGTTCACTCTACTCTGATTTGTGGCATTCTTTGAAGAGTTATGTTCAATGATGTTCAGACCTTCTTATCAAACACCAATGAGGAGAATAAAGGCCAGCATATAGTCAATCAATTATCATGTGCTTATCACCGAATGATTCTTACATATGAGATTCCATTCTAATCTTACTTGTTATTAATTCCTGTTTCATTAACTATCCTGATTTCGAATTACTTTGGGCTGCAGTTATTTGCAATATTTGGTATTCATGCAATTTTAGAGTTTTCTTTTTCTTATCAATGTAGCTTTTATTTTCATAGAAGTCCAGTAGATGCCATTAAAATAGTGGCCTTCATTTGTCATGTGTTTGTTTATATGCATACTGCATCGTCTCAAGATGCAGCACCTTTCTTCATACTGAAATATCTCGAAGTAAAGCTTGCCCTCTGTCTATGATCATTTATTAACCCTTACTTTGGTTTCCCTTTAGTTGGTTAATAAATATTTCTATATACAATACGTAAATTTGAAACGCCCTGCCTATCTCTAATTTCAGAGTGTACCTATTTGATCTCTTTAATGGAAATCACCCCTGTTTATGGTTGAATGGTGGCTCTCTAGTATATACCCTAACAGTTATATGATGCAAAATATTTCAGCCTCCAAATGGCATATTGCCTGAGTGTTGTAACTCCGGCACCAAATTACTTTTCTCACAGATGCACCTCATATCTAAGGACTACCTCAAGATCTCTTAGGGTCCGTGCTGTACAAGACAATGAGGGGCGTCGTCGGTTGGTCGATATTATACGCCTTGTTCCAGACATTTCTAGGAATTACTTCAGAAGTCCCTCTAGGAGGGCACTGTTCGGTGGTATCTCATTGCTTGGTGGTTTTTATGTGGCCCAAACAATTTCTCTCTCTTTTGGTGCTTTGGGTGTGAATGATGTGATTGCAGCAGTTATCTGTGTGCTCCTCACCGAATATGTAACGAGATTCTACTATAGCCGGCCCAAGGTCACCTTCCCTTTGGCTCTTTTGAACAATTTCAAGATGGGTTTCACCTATGGTCTTTTCATCGATGCTTTCAAGCTCGCAAGTTGATGTATACAGTAAGTATCTTTATGTATATTGAAACATGCCATTTTTTTCCATTTTATTGGGTAAAGGAAACATTTCTCTTTTGAGGACATTGTTTTTACTATTATTGGCTGATTCAAGGTCATCTTCAGATTACCTTCGTGATTTTTTATTGTTCCCTTCATAAGTTTATAGTATCAAAACTGTAATTTATGTCAATGCTCATCTTTGTATTTGTTATTCATCCCCTAAAGATGTCTGTGAATATTTTCTATTCTGCTTCATTATGTTGTGCATAAATTGCAATGCTTAATAAACACTGTAGTAAAATATTGCTATGACAAAAAGATGTTTATACAATCAATGCTCAAGAACTTGCATATGAATTGTATTGATCTCAAATCGATTTTGTAACATCTTTTTTTGTGTGTCTTGGGAGAGAATTTCATGAAGTTTAGATCAAGATTCAAGCTGCAAGGAAATCAAGTTTCCATTAGTGCAAGAACTCGTGTAGAAGTCAAATTTATTTGCAGAAAAGGAGTTCAAATTGTGTTGTTCAATGAATGTCTCCAAAAGCAACATTATATTCCAAGGGTGTCACCTCCTCTTGTTTGCTCTATCACGTACTCATGGAATATAAGAAGAGATGCACATTAGTAGCGAGATATTGACAATTTCGTCATATATTGGCAAGCAAACGAGTCCATTGATTCCACGGCTACAGAGGAGTTGGTTAGAACTTAGAAGCTCTTTCAACTTGGAAAGACCTCCCACTTCATATCGAAATCTATATATGTATGGCTTCTATTTTTCCATTGATTTTGTGTGTGTGTTTAAGGCATCAGAACAAGGCGAAAAGTAGGCCGGTTGCAGTTATCAAATGCGAAAACACATTCATGATAAGGATCAAGCAGGATTTGGGGCTTTATTTATTTAAGTTTTCGGTAGTTCCTTTTCAAGTTTATGTAGACAAGGCTTGTTTTGTGCTTTTTATTTTAATTTTTAATTTCAGAATTATAGTTGAACATGGATTTTTAAGTCATCATAAGGTTTTCGACATCATAACTACACTGTCGGCTTACTTGTATAGTATAAGGTGGCCGCCTTATACAATCCTCACCCAAAAAAAAGAGAACATGCATATCAAGAATTCAAGAAAAAAAATTAAAAGTAAATTAGTAAAGTATCATTATGAAGTAATTAGAGGATTTATATATACTTACTTTGCACTTCATATAAACTTTAGTTTCAAAAAGTTTATAACAATATTTTTATTTATAGAAGGTTGCAATCTTGTACTATAGAAGTAAGGTGCACATAAAAAATCCAGTAAAAAGAATATTAAGAAGTTGGAATATCATATCATCTCGACTTTGAGATTTATGAATATAAAGACAAGAAGGATTTTAAGTCTTAAAAATAGTACATTTTATAACAAGTTTGGACGAGCTATTTTCAAGGTTTTCAAGTGTTTGTAGATCTTCTCAATTCGTATTTTTTTGAAATTTTAAATTTCATAATTAGAGTTGAACATGAATTTTGCATGCGGTTTCCAACACTAAGTTATATCTTATGGCAAAAGTTAGGGATGCGTTTGCTTGTATAATGTGGGCATTTTATGCAAACCTCAACCTATTTTTATTATGGGTGCGGTTTCTACAAGGTTGCAACCTTAAACAGTCCAATTAAGGTTCACCTCCAAATTGTATCATAACATGTAATTTTGTTGTAAACAAATCTTACGATTATTTTAAAATCTATTTTCATATCTAATTCGAAAATTTTAAACTCCAAAAATAGTTAAAATCAAGGAGATCTATAAACATATAAAAATCTTGAATATGGACAGTCTAGATAATGTGTTGCAAGATGCATTATTTACGAGATTCAAAACTTTTTTATTTTCATATTTATACATCTAGATGTCAAGATGATCAAATAGAGGGTTTTCCAACATTAAAATAACTTTTTCAATATATTTGTTAGGTGCATCCTTACATTTTAAGGTTGCAACCATACATAAACTTTTCCCTTTTATTATTGCGACACAATTGACAAATGAAAATTATATTCGTGATTGACCTCGAAACAAAAATATGATCATCAAATGAAGATTTATCAATTGCAGGTGTTAATCGACCCCGAGGCGCAGTTTTGGGCTTTTGGGCAAAGAGTTAGTAGGTAAGGGTGGCCTGGCCGGTTAGGTCCGGGTCAAAAAAAAAAAGAAAAAAAAAAGACCATGCCCTTTCTCTATAATTCATTATCCCTAATGCCTTTCTCTCTAAATGTGCTTTCTCTCTCTCTAACTCATCTCTTTTTTTTTAACTGTACTGTTTCTCTCTCTAACTCTTGTTCTAACTCTTTTTTTTTTCATGCTCTCTTTGTCTCTTTCTAAAATCACTAACGATTTCAAAAATTACTAACAATTTTAAAAATGAATAAGAGCAAAAATTATTAACAATTTTAAAAACGAATAAGACCTCGTCATCCCCACTAAATTATCAAAAAAAAAAAAATTCATACTATTTCCAATTCCTCATCGTCACTCTGACCATGCCCTTTATCTAAGTTTTCCTTTGATTCCTCTCTCTTTGGGATCTGAACAAACCCAATAAGGCCTTTGAAATAATTGGAGATAGGGGTGGCAACGGGTAGGGGCTGGGTCTGAAAAATATAGTGTGGGACCTGGATGTGGATCAAGACCCGGACCCGATTGGACCTGACTAAGAAACTAATATGTCTATATATTTAAATATATTTCATAAATTAAAACCTAAAAAACATTATCAGATGCGGACCCGATTTGACCTAGATCCAAACTGGACCCGAATGGTATTCGGGTCCAAGATTTTAACTCGAATGCGACCTGCCGGGTCCATTTTTTAACCCATACCTGAATCTATCCCTGATTGGAGGCCCCCCAAAACACAAAAACCTCATTCTTGGTAAATATGAACAAAATCAATTTAATTGATAAAATGAGCCCACTATCCCATTTACTCTTGCCTGCACTTTTGACCATCCACCACATCTCGCAATCCGACGTTTGTTATTTTCTCGGGCGAGCTTTTCATGGTTCCCCTACAACATAAAACTTATATACTTCTCTCTATCCAACCGTCCATTTTGAGATGGACGGTTGAGATTGTCCCAATCATAATGTCATGTCTCCATACTATTTTATTTTTAATTTTTTTCCTACAAACTATTTTGACACCAAATTTTGGGCTTCAACTCTTCTATTAAATTCGCAGCAGTAAAAAAAATAAAATAATAAAGTTTGAAGTGGTATTTTCATCACTATATTTTATTGAAAAATTCTTTTTAATATTTGTTTTTAGGTGCATTCCATTGATATGAAGGCACGTACCAAATTTTATATTCACACAATATGTAGAAAAAAAACTAAAAATAAACTACTCAAAGGCGATGGATCTAGATCAAACGGTCATAACTCACTTGATCTAAATTAAAGGGCAAGCACATATCTTCAATGCGGTAGGGGAAGTACAAAAACGCTTCTTACTTTATCATGTTGACAATATAGAAAAGACGCACATTATCCTTTCATTGGAAGTTGACGATAGTACATGCATGTACTATAAAATACCAAGTTGTATTTGTACTATTTTTGCCTCGACAACAAATTCTTAGAAAGGATGGGGTTTGCATGAGGGGAAAGGTTTCTATTCTTCCCTTAGAAGTTCTATCCTCCCTTTATCATCAAGCGGTCCAATTTTGATCTAAAGAGTCATTCACTGTTTGATCTTAGATTCGACGTTTCAAAGTATTTTATTTTTAGTTTTCTTTATACATATTGTATGAATATAAAATTTGGTACGTGCCATCTTCTCATTGGGGCACACCTATAAAAAAAATTAAAAATAATTTTTCGATAAAATATAATGACCAAAATACCTCTTAAAGCTTTCAAAGGTATTTTGGTCAGTTTATTTTATTGAAAATATTTTTTTTATATTTTTCGCTAGTGTGAGTTTAATAGAGGAATAGATGTCCAAAAGTTGGTGTCAAAATAGTTTATAGAAAAAAAATAAAAATAAAATAGTGTAGAGACGTGACATTATGATTGAGACAATCTTAGCCCTCCATTCAAAATGGACAGTTGGATAAGGCGGAGGATTGAACTTCTATGCTGCAGGGGAAGCATAGAAAGCATGCCCGTATATAAGGTGGCCACTTTATATTGTACAAATAAGGCGCACCTCTATATTTTAGGTGCTTACTTTATATTATATAAATATGGTGCACCTTTATATTTTAGCTGCTTATAGTTTTGGTGTCAGGAAGGCTTGAAAGTCAACCCTAATTATGAAATTTAAGATTCAAATAATGATGTAATCGAGTAGATGTATAAATACTTGAAAATCTTGAAAATAGACAGACCAAATAACATGTTACAAGATGTATTATTTTTAGAACTTAAACTTCTTTTTTTTATCCTCATTTGTTGGGAGTTGGTTGGGTGAAAAAAGGGGCAAAAAAATAATATAAATAAAAAAATTGAAGCTTGACTCCTTTTGGATTTTTGCCATGCATGAGCGTTATCTCAAGACGATATTTACCCCTTTCAATACGTAAAAGCAATTCATTCTAGGGATACATGAAAACATAAGGGGAGTTTGAAACCCACAATAGACACCAAAGTCGTGAGTTGTTTAGATAGAGAATAGAGAAAAAGGAGTAGAGAGAGATGAGTGTTGTGTTATGCTCTCTCAAATTTTGAGTTGTTTAGAGAGAGAAATCGTGCAAAACAAGTAGAGAGAGATGAGTGCTTTATTATGCTCTCTGAAATTTTGCATCAGAGTCTTGAGTTATTTAGAGAGAGAAATGAGTAGAGAGAGATGAGTGCTTTGTTATGCTCTCTAGAATTTTGAAAAGAAAGGTGTGAAAAGAGGTAAAATGTGTGCATTTTACGCCACAAATTACTTTAGCAAGTTATTATTATTATTATTATTATTATAGTAATGATCCTATGATACCCTCCCACATTCATGTGTGTAGGACTCTAAAGGATCACCATTAAATTTAGTACAGATCTCTAGAAAAGTTATCACATTGGTGTAGGAGTAGATTTTTTTAGAGATCTATGTCAAATTTAATAGTGGTCCTTTTAGATCCTACACACATGAGTGTAGGAGGGTCTTATAAGATTATTACTCTTACTAGTATTATTATTATTGTTATTGTTGTTGCTGCTGCGAAGTTGATTGTTAGGTTCATAAAATTCCAACCCAAAATTGATATGAAAAATTCTTCCATGGTGTTTGGCTTGAGAGAGCGAATGGACTCTATTGCTGTTGTAAAAGTGTGTAATCTTTTGGCTTCATAATATTAAGATCACGTGAAAAGTTCACATTAGTTTATTATAATTAGGACGCAGCGAGCCTACATAGTGTAGAAATGCGTGTTTGGCAATAAATATGATTAAAAATATAATTTGATCCTAAGTTTAGAGAATACATAATTTGAAGATTATAAATAGTAATTATATTAAAAAAAACATTTGGACCATTAGTTTAGCTCTGGACCGCATATTGTAGAAATGTGGTCAAACCCGTATGAAACACTTTTTGTTATTATTAATTACCTTAAAAAGAAAATGTATACTATAAGATCATTCCTTTTTGGTACAAGGATTCAATGACCTACCATTGGATGTGAAATATGATAGGTTAATGTGTATTATAACATTCAAAAAATGTTATTTTGAAGTTTGTGTCTTCTCAATGACATATCTTTAACTGCTCAATTTCACATTTAACATCTAATAATAATTGTGACCGTCTTATACCACAAATAAATAGTCTTGGTACATCTCCATATTATACTATTATACAATTGAGAAGTGAGGATCATAGCAATAAAAGAGAAATATGAGAGGCATTCCAGTAAATCCAAAAAGGGAATATCAAAATA